CATAACACCATCTGTGAGGAATTACTACACCCACGTGAGGCCCCTCATAACACCATCTGTGAGAATTACTACACCACGAGAGGCCCCTCATAACACCATCTGTAGGGAATTACTACACCCGTGAGGCCCTCATAACACATCTGTGAAATTACTACACGTGAGGCCCTCATAACACCATCTGTGAGAATTACTACACCACGTGGGCCCTCATAACACCATCTGTGAGGTACTACACCACGTAGGCCTCATAACACCATCTGTGAGGATTACTACACCACGTGAGCCCTCATAACACCATCTGTGGGGAATTACTACACCACGTGAGGCCCTCATAACACCATCTGTGAGGAATTACTACACCACGTGAGGCCCCTCTTACCATCTGTGAGAATTACTACACCGTGAGGTCCTCTAACACCATCTGCAGGGAGTTACTACACTACGTTTTGCTGTTCAGCATCTACATTAATCTGAATGTTAACTGTATGTTCCTTTACCTTTCTCTAATGAAGGCTTTTGTTAAACCACCAATGTATGTAATAAGTCATTTTATGCCCAATGTATATTTTTCAGCCTTCGGGCTGCAGAACTTTCAATAAACCGTTAATTATTATTATTATTAGTATTACACACACACACACACACACTGGGCCACCAACAACCATGTCACCATCAGCCATACCAAGACCATGGTTATGCCTCAACCTCTCCTCCGACATTGTCCCACCTCCTTCATTACCCTAGGTCCGAGACACCTCCAGGTTGTAGATTCACAGCTCCTCAGCGTCACCATAGACAACAAACTGATTGGAAACACACGTCGGTGAAGTTGTCAAATCCTCCAGTTTCGTCTCCACCTCCTCCATGGCTCAAGTCCTCAGGTTCCGCACACGAGCTCCTCAGTGTATACACAACATTCATACTTCCCAAGCTCACTATGCCTCCCCACCTGGTCTTCCTCTAAATGCCACACCAACGTAAGCTTACCTGAAAAAAGAGTGCAAGGGGCATGGATTATTCTCTCCTTCCTACTCCACACATATCAGAAGCGCTCAACACTCAGCCCTTTCGACTCTCACTGACCATCTCCACGGCCTCATCTGCAAATTTGGTAGAAGCTTCTGCACCATCCCCGACACCGGCCCTACTACCACCTGAGATCCCTGTCCGAGAATTGCTGTTCGACACCACAACCGCATCCAGCCCATTCGTGCACGGACAGTCGCTATAGAACAGCCCAGTCCAACCATTGTAAAAATTATCAATAACATGTAATAAATCAGTGTATTCCTCCCAGTAAACACTGCTCCTACTGTCACTATGTTGAAATGAACTGTAGTTTGAGCTGATCTCCATCTAAGTTACTATATGTCTTATTTGTGTCACTTATGTCCTTGTATATTATTTGTAATTCGTAACCATTCCCCAAATATGTAACTGTATATTTTCAGCCTTCTGGCTGCCAAGCTCTTTCAATAAACCGTTAATTATTATTATTATTATTATTATTACACACACGGCACTAAGGAAGGGAGGGAGAAGCGTCAATTGGATGTGGTTAACAGATATTAGGCTACAAGAGGGTCAAAGTATTCCTGGTACAAAAATCTATTGAGGAATGTTACAACCGCTTTGGCCTGACGTTAACTCTTTAGTACGTACATTAACAACACAGATACCCACGTAGACAGGAACGTTAAGTAAATCTGACGAAAAAAAAAAAATTGGGAGTAAAATTAAATAAAATTACTCGGAAAAACAATTACAGAAAGGCCAATGGAAAATTTTTGGTACAGATAAAAATAAAATTAATAATAGCATATGATATACTTATATTCTTTTGTTATTTTCTGTTTTTGTTATATTCCACTGTTGTTATACTATACTGTTGGAGGCAGGTAGCAACAGGAATTAAGCTTAGTCCTGTTGGTCTCATCTTTCCTTCCACCCGATAGTTCTGTTGACGTGATATAGATCTCTCTCTCTCTCTCTCTCTCTCTCCACACACACACACACACACACACACACACACACACACACACACACACACACCAAATAATGTTATCACTCAGCCAGAACACTTGACATGCACGTTGTTGTTTTCACACTATAAGTACAAATACTCCGTTATGGGACACTGAACAAATAGCTCGGTGTGGAACAATGTGAGTAAATGACTTGGTTCTGGGACAATTGCAGTGCGTGGTTTTTGATAGTTTTTTGAAGAACACAAATACGTCCTGGAACAATATGAACAAAAAACAAAAATTAACAAGACATTAATAAGCAACTATAACAATCAAAACCTAACCTACCCTAACCTAACCTAACCTAACTAACCTAACCTAGCCTAACCTAGCCTACCCCACCCTACCCTACCGTACCGCAACCTGCCTAACCTAACTAGCCTAACCTAACCTAACCTAACCCTAACCTACCTGCTAACCTAAACTAACGTAACCTAACCTAGCCTAACCTAACCTAACCAAACCTAGCCAAAACCTAACCTAACCTAACCCTAGCCTAACCTAACCAAGCCTAACTTGTCTAACCTAACCAGAGCCAAACCTAACCTAACCAACTAAAGACTGTTCATCATCAAACCTGTCTCAATAATACGCTTCTGACACTCAATAATAAGCTACTCAATATGACCGGCTTCTCTGGCACTCAATATAAAGCTTCTCTGGCTCAATATGCGCTTCTTTGGCACTCAATATACTTCTCTGGCACTCAATATACCTTCCTCTGACTCTCCAATATACACTTCTCTGGCACTCAATAATACCCTTCTCTGGCACTTCACTTATACACTTCTCTGGCACTCAATATCCGTTTCTCTGGCACTCAATATACTCTTCTCTGGCACTCAATGTACGCTTCTCTGGCGCTCAGCCTGCGCCTTTACCCCACTGACGTAGAGTACAAGTGTTTGTTAAGTCAAGTAGTATCGATTAAGTCAAGTTGATATCAGGTTACAATTTTGTAACATTTAACCTCCTGGATACCATTTGGAGAGAGTGGGTTTTATTTCGGGGTTATAGAGCTGGCCGTTATCCAGTCAGTCAGTCCAGTCAGTCAGTCCAACCGCAGTTACATCCACCCACTCAATCAATCAGTCAGTCATACCACCCAACCAGTCACCCACCCACCCACCACCCAATCAATCAGTCGAGTCATCCCACCTAACCACCCACACACCCAATCCAACAAGTCACCCACCCACCCACCAGTCAGTCATCCACCCACCCAATCAATCAGTCACCCACCCACCCAATCAATCGGTCACCTACCCACCACCCAACCAGTCACCCACCACCCAACCAGTCACCCACCACCAGTTGGTCTCAGCCTTGCATTAAGCCGAAACGTTTATACATTGGGTAATGATAAAGTGTACACAGCTATATAAACATTGTATATAAACATTGTGTATAAGCATTGTATATAAACGTGGCAAAGACGCCGGCGTGAATAACTGCCCTCTTCCATCATACGTTTTGACTTGTGTTGGTGGGCTCTTAACTCTCTCTCTCTCTCTCTCTCTCTCTCTCTCTCTCTCTCTCTCTCTCCTACCCCTCCTCTCTCCTTCCCTCCATCCATCACCCTCCTCCCACACACCTGGGATCCACAATTGAAAGCAGAGTTTGCTCGACCTGTGGCCCTCCCCTACCTCCCCAAGGCTGCAAATTTATGGTATCGGTATTCTGTTGGTGTAAGAAGAAGAGAATTGTGTGTGTGTGTCTGTGGGGCTGTAGCCCCTACTTGTAGAGTATTTGTCCATATATTAGGGTTGTTGTTGTTATTTGTTGTTATTTGTTGTTATTTGCTGTTGTTTTTGTTGTTGTTTTTGTTGTTGTTGTTTTGTTGTTGCTGCTGTGTTTTTGTTGTTGTGTTATTGTTTTTGTTGTTTTTGTTGTTGCTGTTGTTGTTTTTGTTGTTGTTTTGTTATTTCTGTTGTTGTTTTTGTTGTTTTGTTGTTGCTGTTGTTGTTTTTGTTGTTGTTTGTTGTTGCTGTTGTTGTTGTTTTGTTGTTGTTGTTTTGTTGTTGTTGTTTTTGTTGTTGTTGTTGTTGTTGTTGGTATTATTATTAAAACTAGAAGCCACAATAGCTGTAGATACAACTAGCGTTAACTATACACTAGGATGCTGGAAAACCCCCGTAATCCAGGTTTAACATAATATTAAACCTAATGTTAACTAAACCTTTACGTTAACACTAGTTCTTGTTTTATATATACTACTTAAACCGACTTATATACCGACCTACTTTTTAACCGATCTACTTATAACCGACCTACTTACAACGACCTACTTATAACTAGCCTACTTATAACTGACTCTTATAACCGACCTGCTTACAACGACCTGCTTATAAACGACCGCCAACGCAACAGAACACTGCTTGTAACCAAACCTGTATAACCGACCTGCTTATAACCAAACCTGTATATTTGACCTACTTTAACCCACCTGCTTATAACTGACCTGCTTATACAACAACACTTGCGCAACAGACCTGCTTAAAAGCGATCTTCCCATGTAACGACTTACTATATAACGACCTGCTCAACAGAGCCCCTGCTTATAACCGTTATACATAACCGACCTGCTATGCAACAACTTAGCATAACCGACCTACTTATAACCGACCTTAATATAACCGACCTGCTTATAACCGACCTACTTGTCAACAACTTACTTATAGAACCTACTCACAACCGACCTACTTATAACCGACCTACTTTAACCGACCTGCTTATGCAACAACTTGCTTATAACCGGACCTGCTTAAAAAGCGATCTTGCTTAACCGACTTACCTATATAACGACCTACTAACCGACCTTCTTATAACTGACCTACTTATACAAGGACCTCATATAAGCGACCACTTTTACACCCTCGCCACCCAGTGTCACCCCTCGCCGCAGTGTCACCACACGCCACCCAGTGTCACCCTCAACAGCCAGTGTCACCTCGCCACCCAGTCTCGCCACCGATGTCACCCACCCAGTGTCACCCCTCGCCACCAGTGTCATCCCTCACCCAGTGTCACCCTCGCCGCCAGTGTCACCCCTCGCCGCCCAGTGTCACCCCTCGCCACCAGTGTCACCCCTCGCCACCAGTGTCATCCCTCGCCACCCAGTGTCACCCCTCGCCGCCCAGTGTCACCCCTCGCCACCCAGTGTCATCCCCTCGCCGCCAGTGTCACCCCTCACCACCAGTGTCACCACACGCCACCCAGTGTCACCCCTCACAGCCAGTGTCACCCTCGCCACCCAGTCGCCACCCAGTGTCACCCTCGCCACCCAGTCTCGCCACCAGTGCCACCCCTCGCCGCCCAGTGTCACCCCTCGCCGCCCAGTGTCACCCTCGCCGCCCAGTGTCACCCCTCGCCGCCCAGTGTCACCCCTCGCCGCCCAGTGTCATCCCCTCGCCCAGTGTCACCCTCGCGATCCAGTGTCACCCCTCGCCGTCCAGTGTCACCCTCGCCACCCAGTGTAACCCCTCGCCACAGTGTAACCCCTCGCCACCCAGTGTCACCCCTCGCACCCAGTGTCATCCATCGCCACCCAGTGTCACCCTCGCCACCCAGTGTCACCCCTCGCCACCCAGTGTCATCCCTCGCCGCAGCATCATCCTCGCCGCCGTGTCATCCCTCGCCACCCCGGATCATCCCTGGCCACAGTGTCACCCCTCGCCGTCCAGTGTCACCCTCGCCACCCAGTGTCACCCTCCCCACCCAGTGTCACCCCTCGCCACCAGTGTCACCCTCGCCACCAGTGTCACCCCTCGCCACCCAGTGTCCCCCTCCGCCACCCAGTGTCGCCCCTCAGTGTCACCCCTCGCCACCAGTGTCACTCGCCACCCAGTGTCACCCCTCGCCACCCAGTGTCACCCTCTCGCCACCAGTGTCACCCCTCGCCGCCCAGTGTGCCCCTCGCCGCCCAGTGTCACCCCTCGCCGCCCAGTGTCACCCCTCGCCGTCCAGTGTCACCCTCGCCCAGTGTCACCCCTCGCCGCAGTGTCACCCTCGCCACCCAGTGTCACCCCTCGCCACCAGTGTCACCTCTCCACCCAGTGTCACCCCTCGCCACCCAGCATCCCCTCGCCGCCCAAGTCACCCGTCGCCGCCCAGTGTCACCCCTCGCCACCGGTGTGCCCTCGCCACCCAGTGTCACCCTCTCCGCCCAGTGTCACCTCGCCGTCCAGTGTCACCCCTCGGCACCAGTGTCACTCCTCGCCGCCCAGTGTCACCCCTCGTGGTCAGTGTCATCGCCGCCAGTGTCACCCCTCGCCGCCCAGTGTCACCCCTCTCCGCCAAGTGTCACCCCCTCGCCGCCCAGTGTCACCCCTCGCACCCAGTGTCACCCCTCTCCGCCAAGTGTCACTCCCTCGCCGTGATGTCACCCCTCGCCACCAGTGTCACCCCTCGCCACCCAGCATCATCCTCGCCGTCCAGTGTCACCCCTCGGCACCCAGTGTCACCCCTCGCCGCAGTGTCACCCTCGCCGCAACATCATCCCTGCCGCCCAGTGTCACCCCACCCAGCATCATCCTCGCCGCCCAGTGTCACCCCTCGCCGTCCAGTGTCACCCCTCATAGCAGTTCACCCCTCGCCTGCTCATCCTGCGCAGTGTCACCCCTCGCCGTCCAGTGTCACCCCTCGGCACCAGTGTCACCCTCGCCGCCCAGTGTCACCCCTCGCCACCAGCATCATCCTCGCCGCCCAGTGTCACCTCGCCGTCCAGTGCCACCTCGCCGTCCAGTGTCACTCTCGCCACCCAGCATCATCCTCGCCGCCCAGTGTCACCCCTCCACCAGCATCATCCCTCGCGCCAGTGTCACCCCTCGCCGCCCAGTGTCACCCCTCGCCGCCCAGTGTCACCCTCGCCGCCCAGTGTCACCCCCCCTCGCCGCCCAGTGTCACCTCTCGCCGGTGTCACCCCTCGCCACCAGTGTCACCCTCGCCACCCAGCATCATCCCTCGCCACCCAGTGTCACCCTCGCCGCCCAGTGTCACCCCTCGCCACCCAGTGTCACCTCGCCGCCCAGTGTCACCCCCTCTTCGCCCAGTGTCACCCCTCTCCGCCCAGTGTCACCCCTCGCCACCCAGTGAGGCTTGATTCCAGGCCTTCCTAGTGTGAGAGGAAGTGTTACCCTCAGTCTGCAGATGCTCCAGAAACAGCAAGCCTCCAGGTACCCCCATCTCTACCTCTCTCTCCCTCCTCCCTCCTTATCCTACCTCCCCTCCATCCCTACCTCTCACTCATTCACTGGAGGCGTCAGGGGCTTCAGGAGTCTCTCTAGGTCGAGGGTTATATGATGTGTGTGTATACTTGAACCATGCATGAACAAACACCTTTGCTGTCACTCTGAATCAGGTATGGCGATCATCAGCTGTGATACAATGGTTATAAGTTATTGCGGATGTCACATTCATTGGTGAGTTTTGGAACGACTAAAGGGTCGATACGGGACCGGCAGACTCGTTCACAGATGTTGTGCAGTATGTGGGGGCTACATCTAGTGAGGAGGAGGGGCACCACAGCGTCTTTCGGCGTTGGCACATGTCTGTCTCGGTTTGTAGTCAGGCTAACTCAAAGTATTGACACCCTCTCGTGGTGCTCCTCCAAGCGTTACGATGTGGAGTAATCGTCTCTCAGGTGAGGGTCGATTTGACACTTTTCAGGTTTGTCTTAAGGACTATCCTTCCAGTTGCCGCCAGCGTTACATTTACTATTCGTCAGGTGATTGTACCTGATGCTCCTACAGTTGGTGTCAGCAAATACTGGCATTTTCCTTGAACTCGAGGATGGAATGTAGACTACGTTGGTGGTTTTCAAGTGCCTTGAGATGCCTCTGTATGTGACCCATGTCTCGCTGCCATATATAGCAGGGTGAGGACCACTGCTCGATATATGTGTAACTTTGCAGATAATTTTCAGTTCCTACAGCTGAAGACGGTCTCTCAGGGTCTGCCAAAGGCTTGAGATGCACCTGATCCGATGCTGAATCTCTTATCGATGTCGCGGTGGTGGACAGGTGGAACCGAGATACCGAAAGTGGGTAACATTAGAGGGTAATAGAGCCAAGCTGGATGAATGATGGAGTGTGTCTGAACTCAGGAAGGATGAAAGAGAATCTGAGTCTTCATTCATCTCAGGCCGAAGTGTGCACTGCATCTACGTAGGGTTCAGGATCTCCTGTAGGTGGCATCAGTGTGAGTGTAACAACGGTGAGGTCTGCATACTGAAGTTCAGTAATGGTGCCGACACCTTTGTTCCTGCCTGGAGTCATCTTAAGTTGAAAGACTCTTCATCTGGTACTCGATATCCACCCCGCCGGCTAAATTGGCACTGGCAGGAGTAAGCCGCCAAGAAAATGGAAAAGTGGTGCCAGTACACTCCCTTGTTTTAACCCCGTTTGGATGAAGAAGAACTCAGACTGAGTGACATTGTGCAGGCCACTGCCGTTCATGCCATCGTGGAGTTGCCTCACAATGGCGATGAATTTTGGTGGGCAGCTAAACCACCTAAGGATCCACCAGAGGGCTTCCATGTTGACCGAGTCGAAGGCCGTGGTTAAGTCGATGAAAGCCATGTACAGGTCACGACGCTGTTCTCTGCACTTTTCCTGTATCTGGCGGGTAGCAAAGATCCTGTCATTGGTGCCACTTAATGGTTTAAAGTCACGTTGAAATTCTGGGAGGAAGTTTTCCGCCTCAAGAAGTTTGTTTAGGAGGACTCAGGCGATAATCTTGCCAGCTACGGACAAAAGCGAATCCATGGTAGTCGCCAAAAGTCTGCCTTCATCGTCTTCAATTAGGGGTGTATTGTCGGATGAGTGGAGGGTGACTGCACCTGGTGATGGCCCTAATATGTTTTAGTGGAACTGAAAAATTCGCGCATTTTGTGCTGATATGCAAATATTTGTGTTTCACATGCCTTATTTTTAAACCAGTCATTCTTTAATTTGAAGTTCCCGCTGGGCCACTGCTTTCTTCTTGCGGAAGGTATCAGCTTTGGTCCGAGACTGGTGTATTCTTTCGATCTGGCCGAGGGTCTATCTGCAGGTTTTTGTCATGACAGTGTCGAGAATATCCCATTCAACAGTGGGATTTGGGTTGTTTGTTGTCGGGTTGTTTATCGGTGTTCGAGCTGCTCTCTGAAAACATGTGCTACCGCTGTATTCTCCAGATGCTTAGTGTTAAAACCTCCTCTGAAGGCGGCCTTCGCCGTTTTGGGGTGACGTGAAGAGAGAGCTTGGACCTGACGCGCCGATGATCAGTGTCATGGCGGGTCTGAGCCACGCAAGGCACGGGTGATGAGGAAATCTCGGCTATCTCTTTCTCTGACAATGATGAAGTCAATGAGATGCCATTGTTTGGGTCGTGGGTGTTGCCACGAACCCTTGGCCTTGTCGGCCTACCTAAACAAGGTATTGGTGATAGTGAGATTTTGTGCAGCACACTTGCTGAGGAGGAGTAGACAGTTGCGATTACATTTGCCGAGTCCATTTCTCCTTATGGTCGCTTGCCAAATGCCAGCATCTTTGCCAACTCTGGCATTGAAGTCACAAAAAGAGCACAACCTTATCATCTTAGTCGAGGTCGGCGCCTAATGGCGATGTCAGCCTCTGCAACCAGTGTTGGGGTGTATGGACTGATGAGCAGCATGGTGATTCAGTGGGACTCGGGCGTCATGAGGCGCTCGTTGATCCATCTGACATTTCCGGTTAGCGCAGCCTTTGGATGCGTTGGATAGCAAAGCCAACTCCATAAATGCAGTTTCTCTCTGCAGCAGGTACCTTCCACAGAAGGTATAGCTGGACCCCCGTTCTGTGAGTTGACCCTCGTCTGGGAACCGGGACTCACTATGGCTGCTATGTCGATGTTATACCTGGTCAGACTCGTTTACCACAAGGCGGTTCTCTAAGGCGTTCATTTGTGCCAGTATCCTAAAAAGTCCTGACATTCCATTCAACGACTATAGAGGTTGCATAGTTTGTGTTTGTTTGGATCTGTGATTTTTTGATTGTGTTTTGACTGGTTAAGGATGACCTTGCAGTGCTGTTGCTTGAGTCAGGTTGATTTTTTCAGAAGGCTATGTTTAGGGGCAGCCTCCCGCATGGGTGAGATTAGTGGAAACTGAGGCTGCTCAGTGCTGAGAGGACCGGATTGCACTGCTGCCTACTGTAGATCACAGTGCATAAACTACATCTATCTGTGCCGCCCATGTGCAGAG